TCTAAGAACCCTTCTTCTGTCCTTGAGACCACTATATCTGGAGGACCATAACAGCAGCCTTCCAGGCAGACTTAATTACAAACTCTTCTGGGAAAATGGAACGTTGCGCCCCTGGACTTTGATGCCATTTTCCAGAGTAAAGAGTGCCTTACCTTGGACTGGTTTATCTTGATATCTGTCAGTCATTTCAGATTCAGTCTCTTATCCCAGTCCCTCACCCTTTTTTGTGATACCTCACATAGAGTTGAAGTGGTGTATTGAGATGCTGCTTCCTCTGCTACTCAAGATACTGAGGAAAGCCAGGCAGGATGAAACAGTTGTAATCCTTGACCTGGTCCCTTCAACTCTGTGCTCTGCAACCACTTCCACCTTAGACTGCATTTAAGTTGAAGGGAGCCACTTCTGAAAAGAAGGGTTCTCTGTTGACATGACTCTGTCTGGAGAGTGGAAAAGGTGCTTCTTTTTCTTACTCTTAGGTCTGGAAAGTCTTCCTGGCCTAGTCTGACATCAGAGGGCTATCCTGTTTCCTACTTTTCTTGCTCCAGGATCTTTGGGATTTTTTTCTATTGGTACTCAAGTAAGGTCTCAAACCAGTGATTAATCCTTCCTTTGTTCCCAAGGTGAAGATGGAATTTCCTATGAAGAAAAATCAGCCGTTCTTCCTCTTGCTCCCTCCAAATCCAATATTGCGTCCCAGCCCCTATGAGAAGAAGTTTCATTTGTTGAACATTTGAAAAAAAAAATCTCATTCTCATGAATTTAGAAAGCCAAAACAACTGCTATTCTGTTTTGAGGGTTGTAACAAGGGCAAGGCTGTATCTGAAGTCACTTTTGTTAGGTAGGTCCAAACCTGCATTCTCACAGAGTATGCCCAGGCTGGCAGCCTTGTCCTGAGTTTGTCAGATGACATTTGGCAAGATAAGTCTTCACTTCTTGGTCAGTGATAGCTGAAGCAGTCATTTCCCAAGTGTATGATGTGGCAACATGTTTCTCTATTCCTCTTTATGTCACTATTAGCTAGGCCTCTCTGCTTCTCAGATAGTCTCTTTTGGACAAAGGGTCCTGCTAGCAGAACAATATGGTAGCCCCACTTCCTGGGTTTATTACTTGCTACATCTCTGTCATTCTATCCACTGTTGTAGGATTGGAGAAGACAGGCATATGACAACAGAAAATTACTTAACAGTAATTCTGTTTATCGGAGTCTCCTGTTCTCTCTCCCTACATCCCTCCATTCTCTGCTCTGATGCTTGTTTATCATCTCTCTCACTGGTTTGTATACTGTGTCCTTTTCTATGACTGTGGAAGTTTTTTTAACTGGAGGGAGCATTTTCTGGCTAAAGCTGTGTAGTCAGGTATGGGGTTTCAAAACGCTTTGCATCCCTGCTTCCAGTAGGTGGCACTATAATCCATCTGTCCTTTAATCCAACATCATAGGATGGTAGACAAGGGTTACTACAACTAACAGAATTGCTGGTAAGTAGTCTTCTAATATACAGCACTCTGACATCATTCATACTTATCCTTTTTAAAAGGAGAAAGGTACTTTTTATTCTGATGATAGAACAGTCAGCCATATTCATTTTATCTAAGCAAACCGGAAAGTAGATTAATGATATTTAGTTTATAATGGTGATATTGAAATGAATGAATTTATTTATATGTAATCTGTAATTACTACTAAATATCTGTATAAGTGCCAAGAAGGTTATGGAGATATCAAAGGAAATACAGTACCTTAATTATAATCCCAGTGAATAATCTGCAGGTAGTAAAATCTTGATTAAGTACTCTCAGTATCATTTACCATATTGGTTTTAAGATGTCAGTTCTTTCCATTCATATAGTGAATGCAGTTCTTATCCCTGAAATAATATGGTATTGTGCAATCAAACTTGTTTTCAATTTACTTTTTAATCATCTCTCTTCTTCAGGGACTCTTGATCACATAAAGTAAAGAATTGGGAGTAAAGCTGGATAACATTTTACTATCTCACTTCAGAGATTTTTAGGACTAGAAGTTATTAAATATAAACTAATGTTTTTCAAACATGTACAGCCAATAAATCTGAAATGAATAATATTCTAGAGGTCAGTGTAGCCATTTCCAGAATAATAATGTAGTTAGCTATTGACAACTGAAAACTAAGGCTGTTTTATTAAAAAAAAAAAAAAGGCATTGACATGTGATTTTAATTTTAGATTAAAAGAGTTGTACAGATTGTCTGATTTTTTTCAGTAGATATAATTGGAGCCGGGCTGTTTGGAAGCAGCTGACTAAACAACTAAGGGTGGGATTTGTGTTCCTATAAATCTTAGATGCTTTTGAAAATCCCGCCCTAAATGACTGTATTTTTCTGACAGGAATTTAGTGGCAATATAATTTGTATCTATTACAATGTAATATTTCCAGTGGTTTTATTTATTTTGTATATTTTAAATATATTTACATCTTGCGTGATTTATATGTTTTCATAATATTCCAATAAACAAGTAATATAATCCCTTATACATCCTATTGATGAGACACACGTTTGGGGTTTGGTCAAGGGCATAGTTCTGAAGAGTCTAATGTGGACTTGGAGAGACATCCGTTTTCCATACAAGATATTGATTGCTTATGTGCCTAACTGGAAATTGTACACCTATGAAAAAAGTGTAGAAAAAAAGTGATAAAACGATGTTTTTTCTCACAATAAAACATTGATTTATCCCTGAAAAAGCATAAATGCGTTAAAGGATGTCTGTTATTTTGTGAAGATGAATTATATCCCATAGCTAGCATGTGTAAAATGGGTAAAAAATTGCATGAGTTGCCAGGGACTTGTGGTTTAATTGGATCGTAAAATAAAAAATACAGCAGTCTTGTGTAATATGCTTTATCATGTTTAGTGATTATATTATTGTATTAGTGTTGTAAATATATAGGGTACTTTACAAATATCAGGGGGAAATGTTCATTATCAGAGAGCTTTCCATGTACAAAACAGTAAGACAACAGCAATAGAATTTTTTAAAATAATACTACAGAGAAAGAATCAACATGAATTAAAGAAAAACCCAAATATGGGGGAGAAGGCGAGAGAAGAATCAAACTTGACAGCAATCTTCCAAGCCTGGGAAAGTAAAGTATGGGTATCATCACCAGTAGAGAAGGGAGGACATGGAAAGGGGTTAGGAAAGTTGGGAAGTTTAGTTTGAATATATTAAGTACAAGAGCAGGAGGAGATGCAAGAATGGTCGGAGGGTTGGAGGTTAGGGATAGGTAGATTTGGGAGCTATTAGTATAGAGGTAATAGCTGAAACTAGGGAACTAGACAAAGGTTTTGAAAATTTATAGAAAAGCAAGGAACTGCCAACAAAAGCTTCGTGGACTGATGGCTCCTTGTGCTAAGTCTAAGAGGTGATTGAGGGGGGAGACTGACCCAGCCTGCCTCTCTCTTTATCCCTGCACTCAGAAATTGGGAGGCTCCTGCTCCATATCATGGCCACAGAGAGAGGCATAGGACACTGGGGCCACATTGCTAGGTCCAAGGGGGTGTGGTCAACAACTGTCCCTCTCCCTCCTCTGTCCCCACCATCAGCTCACAGTAGCATGAGATTCTAATGCTGCTGGTGCCATTAGGGAAGAAAAAATACTGTATATATGAGTTTCTGAGAATAAAAACTGTAATAGCTTTCAAGCCACCAACCTTCCCAGCAGAGTTGAAGATACATATTTGCATTCCTTAATCTTTTTCTATCTTTCACTTGAAAAACAACCTGGCAGAAAAACTAGTATGTTCCATGCCCCAACCAATGGGCACCTTTTGTGTTCTGTATCCTAGATAGGATTGCTGCCTGAAAAATACTCAAATTACAAGTTTCCTGCCAGTCATGTTCTGGGGGCATTGTCTCCAGGAGTTATGATCTGTTGTAGCTTTTCCTTTCAAAGACAAATGATGGATAACTAACTCTCTTACAAACTCAGTTGAGTTAAATAATTTAGACTTCACAAAGACTTGTTAAATCCTCAATTTTGAATGAATACTACTTTTTCTGATAGTTTCGTGTAAAAGATTTTTTTAACAACTGAACATTTTATCTAGAATCAGCTCCTGTTGCTCTTGCAGATTTGCTAGCAATACTTACATAAATGTGGTCAATAAAATATATTTCTTTTCCTGAGTTATTAAATATATGTATAATTGTCCTTTGTGACTGAAATCATGTATGTTGTCTACAATATATAAATATTACAAATATTTAAAAAGATAAGCAAACAAATTTTGATCAAATTATTATTTTCCTAGTGAAGTGATGGAAGCCCATTGCTTGAGACAACTTAAAACTAGACTAACCAGAACACTATAATGTATACTGTAAGGATATAAAAGCAAACGTGGATTTGCAAGGAGATGGGCTGGATGTTAATAGGTCTTTTCTATCTCTAATTTCTATTTATTCAATTAAGAACTGACTTGAACTGTGGCAGAGGTGCCCAGGGATCAGCAGAGACTTTTACGGTTGTCGGAAGAGATGTGGGTATCTAGAGTCTATTGAAGAAATGTAGGAAAGGAGGTGGGGAAATAACTGGGGTCTGTCTGGAGTTGTGGGAAAGGGTGGGACAACTTTAAATGAGTTTAGATAGTTCAGGCAAGCCTCTAAACTTTTGTGTGTCATCCAACAATAAGTATTGCATTGAAAGGGAAGAACATGGAGAAAAAATATGCTGTTAGAAGTTAAAAATGTTTGGTTCATTTTTAATGGAAAATAAGACTTTGAATTGACCTAATGATACTTTTAGAATTGTCAAAAACTTATCAAGTTGATCAGTATAAATTGTGAAACTTCTACAATCAGAGACAGCTATTCTTTTCAGTGGCCTTTTTTCTTTCTGACAATTCAAGCAACGTAGTGATTTAGCAGTTTTCCCTATCCAGATAACAGATTAGACTATACTCTTCTAGTACGGAATGGGTCACAGACAGCCTTTTCTTATTCACAGTTCTCTATTTCAGACCACCAGTTAGTAGGGCACTGCCACAGCCTGAAAAACTTCAGACAAATAACGTTGGCAAAAAAAAGAGACCAATAGAGGTAAGGAAAACCACAGACATCTTTTTTTTCCTAGTTTAACGTTCCCTTAATCCCTTAATTTTTTTACTATTTTGTCCAAAAAATTGATTTGCTTATCAATAAAGTGTATATGGTAAAGTTAGTATAAAGAGAGAAATAGTTAATAGCGTGTATGTATTTAGCAGCAAATTTCTTTTTTTGGGAGGGGATCCTTTAGGATCTTTTATCTTTCATTTTTCTTTTGATCCTTGAAAGGTCCAATGTCACCCCACCCCACAAATGTGTCTGAGCCACAGCTTTCTCCAGAGTCTATCAGTTACAGAAACAGCACATTCAGCCTATGTGGTATGGAGTCCCTCTTGGGTGAGTGTAGGGTATCAGTATAATATCACACTTGGCCAGAACTCTGATTTTTCCATGTGGCCATGCATTGTATTACCAGTAGGTTACTAAACCAGCTAAACAAATTACCTTTAATTCTGAAGTTTATTCAGAGGAATGCAGTAAATTTCTCTCTCCCCTTTATGCATGAAATACCCTCCCTGAACTCATCTGTAAATTCACCTGAACTCTTCACTACCGTCTTCGCCTTTAAAACTCAAATTCAAAATAAACTTCTTCTGAAGTTTGTAAGTAATCGGCCAATTAATGATGCTTTTAGGGTTAGGTGGGATTAGACCCCAATCCTGCAGTTAGATCTGATTGTAGGATTTGGGGTCTTAATTAGTATTTTCTCTCTCTTTCTCTCCCCCCAGTGCATATGAGGTTTTTTTTTTTCATTCTATGTTTGACTGTACCCCATCCCTTCACCTTTTCATATGTGATTTGTTTGCTTAAATTGTAAGTGCTTTAAATTTGGGAGTGTGTCTTCATTTGTGTCATCGTCATGCACAGTGGGACCCTGATCATCATTAGGCATCTGAATGCTATTGTAATATAAATATTAAATAATATTCTCACCATATTAGAAATATAGATTATTAATTAATGTTCAAGAAAATATTTGGCATAGTATGTAGTATTTTGCCATGACGCTTTGGGAATTTTTAGGCACCATCTCAGCATTCCAATTCCCCTAGTCCTCCAAGCTGAATATCAGGTAGACTATGGGAATATGAAACTGGTGAAGAATACTATTCATACTAGTGTCCTAGCATCTTGTATATCAAGAGTTACGTTCTTGTTGCCGGATGAGACTGTATACTATCTTTTGTGAAAAATTTGTTTCCATTAACATCCATCAAATGATATAGCATGAGATACGGGGGAAATATGATATACTGGTGTAATAGGCAGCAGACCAGTCTCAGATGTTTTTGGCCATCATCAAAAATTCATTTTTCCTTTGAATATAGGCAATTACACGTGTTTAAAAAATAAAACACTAGGAAAGCTTTATTCATAAAGAAGTTTTAAAGTATTTAATAGACTTAAATCTGTTTTCTTAGGATCTAGTATTGGAGCTGGTATTTGGGTACCGAGGCAAGGACTGCAGGAACAATGTTCACTATCTGAATGATGGTGCTGATATAATTTATCATACTGCATCTGTTGGGATTCTATATAACGTGGCAACAGGTAGGAAAAACTACTTAGGAAAATTTCTCTGCTCATGTGTACAGGTAACACCCATCTGATAACCAGTATACTTAAAATGTTACTGCTGTCTGGAAAAATTGCAAAATAATGATTTACGGAAGAAAATCTAGCTAAAAGTGCAATCAAAGAGTGTGTGATCTGTATTATTTGTGCTATGTAATCAAAAGAGATCTGAATAAATCCCTGTGAGGACAATATTTGGAAGGAGGTATAAGAATCCAGTTATTTCAGTACCAATTTTCTTAACTCAGCGTTACAATATCCTAACAAAACATGCATCTTCTATCTTCTGCTTATTATAAGAAAAGCTCCACTTCTTCTCTGCAAATGCATGGCCAGTATATCCACCATCTCCAGGGTTGTCCCTTAATAGAGATAGAAGTCTGTGGCCCAGTTCTTTCTGGCCACCAATGCTGTAACCCTACCCACAGTGGCCTCCTTGGAATCCCCGGGATGTTGCTCAAGTCCAGAATGAGGTCACCTATTCCTCCAGTAGCCTCTCTTCCTGAACCTCCGTCGCTATAGCCACAGACACTAATTGCTCCAGAATTGCTGGTTCAGCCTAAACCATTGTTACAGGTGCCACGGGAGATTCCATGGGCTCTGCTTCCTCCTTCTTCTTCGTTGCCAGACAACTCTGTGATACCAGATTCTTCCTCCTTTGTACCTGAGGATTTTAAATCGTTCAACCTTGGATATTCAGGCCAAGCTTGCTCAGGAGAACACCCATAAATTGATGGATATTCTCCAATCCTCAGCTCCAGGGAGAGTGACTCTCTCCATAAATGAAGCAATCTTGGAACTGGCAAAGATCCTAACACCCAGATTCCTTACACCCACAATGAAACATGCAAATAAAAGATACCACATGCTTGTGAATGGTTTTTTGGGTGCTCCTACTCTTGTCGTAAGAGCAGTTAATGAGAGGTTAAGATGGGAGAGAGAGAAGTTGACACCAAAGGACAAGGACTCTAAAAGATTGGACTTGGTTGGGAAAATTTATTCTGTCTCATCCTTACAAATGCTCATTGCCAATCACCAGGCACTTTTATCAAAGTATGACTTTCTAAAGTGGGAAACAATGGCAAAATTTATAGATAAGTTACCAAAATCCTCCAGGGAAGAGTTTAAGAGTTTATTGTAAAAGGTGACTAGTGGCAAAAATATCACTATGGTCAGCTTTTGGAAATGGCTGATGCTTCCTCTTAGAGTTATAGCATGTGCTGTGACAGTGAGAAGGGCCTCATGGTTCCAGAACTCCGGTATAGCTCCTGAGGTCCACAGATGATTGAGGACCTACCCTTTATGGTCAATTTTTGTTTTCAGAGAAAACTGATAAAATGTTACATTCCTTGAAAGATGAGCTATGATGCTTTTGCTGGGGATTTTAACACCAGCGATAAAGAGGCATCACTTTACAGGGCAACAGCTTAAGCAGCATTATTGTCTGAAGTGGTTCTGTAGGTTGAATTATCTCTCTAGACAGCAGGACTTTTCCAGGAAGGCGCTCAAGTCTTATATGAGGTCTTCTAGTACCAATTTTAACCAGTCAGCCTGTTTTTCATTAGTTTTGGGCATGCAGCTAATTTGACTCTCCGAAGCCAGCATTCCAGTCGGCAGGCTTCAAGCCATTTCCCCTACATTTGGGGATAGGCTATCCTACTTGTACAGGTCTTGGGAGTCAATAACTATGGACAAGTGGGTCCTGAGCACTGTGGGACTGGGTTATGCCTTTAGTTCCTGTCCATTCCTCTTCTCATCCTTCTACTCCATCACTTTCCAGAGACCCCTCTCATGAGTGTCTGCTCCTTCAACAGGTGCAGACTGTCTGGGTTTGGGGGATCATAAAAGAGGTTCCCCTTCAGAACTGGGGAAGGGGATTCTACTCATAGTATTTCCTGATCTCCAAGTCCAAGGGAGAGATGAGACCTATCCTCAGTCTCTGCAGCCTCAACAAATACATGAGATTCCGCATGGTTACCCTGGTGACTGCTCTCCCGGCTTTCAATCACAATGACTGGTTTGCCATCCTCAATCTTCATGACACTTAACTTCCATGTGGTAATTTTCCCAAGTCACAGGCAGTTTCTGAGATTTGTAGTGGCAGGTCAGCATTATCAATACGCTGTGCTTCCCTTTTGCCTGTCCTCCACTCCATGGGTATTTACTAAATACATGATAGTAGTAATAGTATATCTCAGAAAAAAAGAGGAATTAATGTGTTCCCATACCTGGACAATTGGTTAGGGAGTGACAGGGCTAGAGAATAAGTCCTCTTTCATGTCCTAGTCACACTACATCTCTTCAATCATCTGGCCCTGATTTTGATCAAAGGAAAATCAATGGTAATACCATCTCAAAAAATCGACCTCGGAAAACTGGGACCCCACTAAACTCTATGAGTTCAAGAATCTTTCTGCCAAACAAAGGATTTCAAGCAATTTTGTCGCCTGTGTCTGGCATTCCAATCTCAACCTTCAACTATGGTCTGTGTATGCCTGAAGTTACTAGGCCGTATGTATGCATGCACTTATGGAGTTCAGCATGCAAGATTGTGCTTTCATCCTCTTCCAGTGTATGTGAAATTGGTCTATTGCCCAAGTTGTCAATCGCTGGACAGGCTTGGACTTCTTACAATGCTAGGCAGTTCAGAGCAATGTATGCCAGGGTTTTCCCTTTGCTCATCCTCCACCAACCATGACCATAGTCACTGGTGCCTCTTCAATAGGTTGGGGAGCATATCTGGGGACATTGAGAATTTAGGGCTTATGGTCAGAACAGGAGACTTTCTGTCATATCAGCATTTGCAGAGCACAGTTCCTTGAACAGGAGCTCATTTAAGATGACTGAACTGTTTTTAAAAGAATATATTTTGACAAAGGACACAGAAAATATATTAACACGTGTATTCATTTTATAAAGTAAATTTTCCATGGCAATTTATCTTTTGGTGCACTGATGGTTTGTTTTCAACAAATGCATTATTTACTCAGGTGTATACTTTTAAAAGCTTTGTTATGTTTATGGTAAGTATTTTAATCTAAAGCATGGAATGTTTTCAAAAGTATTTATTAAAGTGAGACATACTACAATTATTTACTGCTTTTCATCTTCAAAATACATTATCAATACGAACTAATCATCAAACAGCAAGCCTGTGGGGTAGGGAAGTAAGTATTAATGGTCCATATCAATAGCGGATGTAACAGCAATGAAGTCTGTGCAATTACACCAGGGACAAATTTGATCCATTCTCACAATACTCCTAATTAGAAAGCTGAGGGAGAGAGGTTAAGGGACTTGTCCAATATCATTGAGAAATATATATCAAATCCAAATTTAGAATTTAGTGATTCATGGCTCCAAGCACTGTATATAGAATATTATGTCATCATAAAGCCATTCTCTATTAAATATTATAACATTTTTTTCAAATTTAATCATTGCCATATATGTATAAATGTTTTAACAAACATTGTATTAATTTTTTGTATTTTTATTTTAGGCTCTCAGTCTTTTTACCAGGAACATAATGATGATATTCTGTGCCTCACTGTAAATCAGCACCCCAAGTTTACCAACCTTGTGGCAACTGGCCAAGTAGGTATGTTTGTATTTTTTTAAAACGAAATTAACATATAAGCATGATTTTAGGGTCATTTGAGTTCATGAATAAAACATAAAGATTATTTGATTATGCTATCTCCGTTCGTATGAGTGTTACTCAGTTACCTGTCCTCTTTATTTTTTTTCTGGAGAGTAATTTAATACAATTAAACAAAAATTATTGGGAGGCTTAGGAAGCCAAAATTTTGCTTGGAGAGTTATCAGAAAGTAATTTTGGAAATTTTGAGCCCCATTTAAATTCGTCTGTACTTTCATTTAATCTCCTGACTTGTTCTGGGACATCATCATCATAAACAGTCTTTCCAACCAACTCAACAGTAGTCTGTTAATGAAAGGGAGACAAATGAAGAACATTTAATTAAACAATAGTCTGCATTTTTATCTTAAATGGAAAAATAGTTGTGAATTTACATAATATTATCCCATGATACAGGTTTACAGTATCTACAACTACAGTGCTCATAATAAATGGTTTTAACCTTCCAAACAGAGCCAAAGCAGTAATGAGTGTTTCCCTCTAGATCAGGGATTCCCAAACTTGGTTCGCGGCTTGTTCAGGGTAAGCCCCTGGCGGGCTGCAAGATGCTTTGTTTACTTGAGCGTCCGCAGGTACAGCCACTTCCTGCAGCTCCCATTGGCCAGGAACAGCAAATCGCGGCCACTGCTCAGGTAAACAAAGCATCTCACGGCCCGCCACGGGCTTACCCTGAACAAGCCACAAACCAAGTTTGGGAACCGAGTGATAATCTAGATTTTAGTAAAAACAAATATATATTAAAATGACATTAAAGTTGACATGTAAGATCACACACACAAAAAGAAATCCTTACAACAGTATTCTTATATCAACACTATTGTGTCTAGACATTGCAGCACAATAAAATCCTCTGGCAGTTCCACAACACAAACATATGTTGCATATCTTTTAATGTTTCTTAGCAAATAATAGCACATATTGAATGTCTTAGAGTTTAGAAAATGTAGGAGCCAGATTGATTTAACAGGAATATATTTTTATTTCTCTACAAAAATTTGTATTGAAGTCACTGCTAAGAAGAGCTGGGCAAATAATGGATTTTTCTGTTCACTGGGAATTTTGAAAAGTTGAAAAAAACCCATTTCATGTTGAACTAAAACCAAAAATTTTCAAATTTTTTGGGAAAAAAAAAAAAACTTGTTTCAGGTTGAACGAAACATCATTTTGACAAAATTGAAATATTGCGATTAGATTTACTCAAAGGGTTACTCAAAGAATGCAGAATGGGATGGGAGGAATGCAGTGACACTACAAAAGCTATGGTTCTTTGCTTATTTTGTTTCCCTCTGTGCTTCTTCACCCAGGAGGAAACATAGGTCACTTTTAATGCTCATTTGTCCCATAAACATCCTGTAAAGCAGCTAATAATAGAACAACTTCTGCCTTGTTTTATAACCTGGATTGAGGAATAAAGAGCAGGAACAGATGACACCACATAAATAAAATTGTTTCCATGCAAATAATCCCAGTAATTAAATGGGGGGAGAATTTTTTTTTAAAAAAGATAAACATTTTTTTCTAAGCAAAACAATTTTTAAAGCTTTGCACTGGCATTAAGGTTATTTTACTTATACCTATTTGCTTTTGGTATTTTTAACAGTGTTATAACTTGCATCAGCATAGTTTTGACATAATGCAGTCTCCAAAGATTTACAGAAATATTACTTTAATGTGTTTTCAAATTGTAATGGCATGGTAGCGGAGACTCTGTAGTCTTGCATTGAAATAGTTTTGACATCAGAATATCTCATTGCAATGTTTTATGATGATGCTAAATCCATTATGTTATGCAGAATGCTTAATTGCTTCTCTAATTTGGGCGTGCTCCTGTGTAATGCTGATCACCCATCCCTTCTACTGAAGTAAATGGGAGTAGAGGGGGTTCAGTACATGTCAGGATCAGGCCCTTTATTAATATACCATCTCAAACATTATTTCCCTCTGGGCATTTATTTACTTAATTGGCTAGCATGCCTGAAACATGTAAAAAATGCTATTAATTTAGAGCTAGGTAGAGAAGGACTCAAGCATAGACCCAAGTGACATTTGTACATTTTATAACTCACACAACTGAAGACAAAATGCATTCATGCTAGCCATTTGTATTCCAAATGTGACTGAAACCACTTTAGACATCAGTATTTGTTCAACTACTTTAACTATAATAGCAGTATTGGTACTGCTGTAATGCAAGAAGATGACCTCAAGGCATGTGGTAAGAAATTACACTTTTTGTAGCATATATTTTCTTGAACACTTATCTTATTTCTGATCTAATGATTTTTCTGCTGCTTTTCCATTACAGGAGACTCAGCAGATATGTCAGGTAAGGGAAATAAAATTTTAACCTCTTCAGATATAGTTAGACTATTGAGTAGTCACTGTCTACAACTTTGTAGATCAATAAGTTCTGAGAATATATTTCAAGTTTATAAAACCACATATGAATCATTTACTGCCTCAGCACTAAACCACAACAGCTCAGTAAACTGTAAAAATAAAATATTTCCTTTACCAAAAATCAAAACATTCAAAAAAACCACTTTAAAACGATTTTTGTTGAAACACATTCCCTTCTTGCTGCCCAGTGATAAACTATTTCTAACATAGCATACTACTGCTACTACTATAGCATATATGTACAAATGTGCAGTTTTTAGAAGCTATTGGGGCTGACAACTAACAGTTTTAGACAATTCAATTTAACATAATTTTGTAATGTATACATTTAAAGCAATATTCCAGTGAGGAGGCCTAGGTGACTGAGTGAATAAAATAATCACCTTTCATATCTACTGTATGATTGTCGTGCAATTACTACCAGTGATCCAAAATGGTTGTTATGTCAGTTTAATTTAGTGATGAATCATTTTGGGTCTTTTGACAATTGTGATTGAGCTATTTTTAGTAATAAATTGTATCTTAACTGTAATTTTGAGGATCCATCACCATCATGTGTGAGTGAGTTCATTGTTGAGCAGTCATTGTAGTTGTTTGTCACACATCAGACACAGAGATGCATAAAAGTGGGTTTGTGTATATATAGACAATATGATAAAAATTATGCATGTGATGAGCACATGGTCAGTGAAATTTTGAAGTATGTTGATTTTTTTTTTGAATATGCCAAATGAAGGTTGCATTAAGGATGGGAGAGAGCATACAAGGGAGCCTTTTTCCAACCAATATTCCTACGTAAGAGGTAACCATAATATGGCTGTTTCCCTGAGTTCAGGAGGAACCCCTCTAGTGCTGCATAATGTCTCCACTAACTCCCACTTAGGCACTTCTGCTGCCTCATTGACCCTCCTAGCACAGCTTTAGCTTGACCTTCTATGTCTTAATAAACCTATATAATTCCTGATGGCATTGCCTGGGTCCTGCACTATATTCTCTCTTCTTTGTGGAGCTACTAGACTAGAATCTGGGCTGCTGCTGCTCTTCATTATGATGTTTTAAGTATATCCATGCCAAATTGTTTGCTGGCATCAGGATCAGAATGGCACATGAAATGCTCTATTGACTGCAGAACAGATCTGGTTCATTCTAGTGCAGATCTCTTCTGCCCTGCTTGCCCATGGAACCTTTACCCTGACTAAAAAGAGAGAGACCACCCCACAAAATGCATCCCTCTCCTAGGACAAATACTCAGCAGGCAAACCATGACCTCCATGAGGGAGGAGCAAGATCAAGGCAGAGATTTTGAGAAGAGCACAAACGGAGGGAACCACATTTTTCTTCCAGCTAACCCTGTTGTGGTAGTCTTACTCAAATCCACATTTGTGGAGTCTAGATGAAGATAGGGTTGCCAACTTCCTAATCACACAAAACTGAACACCCTAGCCCCTCCCCTCCCCCGAGGCCTCACCCCCTTCCCTGAGGCCCCGCTTCCCACTCACTACATTCCCCCTGCCTCGGTGGCTCGGTCTCCCCCACCCTCACTCACTTTCACTGGGCTAGGGTAGGGGGTTGCGGTGCGGGGGGGTGAGGGCTCTGGCTGGGGGTGCAGGCTCAGGTGGGGCTGGGGATTAGGGGGTTGGGGTGCAGGAGGGGGCTCCAGACTGGGGTATGGGGACGAGGGATTCAGAGTGTGGGAGGGGGCTTCAGGTTGAGGCAGGGAGTTGAGGTGCAGGAGGGGGCTCTGGGTTTGGGGGGGGGGCTTAGGGCGGGGGAAGGGGTTGGGGGATGAGGGCTCTGGGCTGGGGGATGGGCTCTGGGGTGGGGTCAGGGATGAGGGCTTTGGGGTGCAGGACGGGCTCCAGGCTAGGGAGTGGAGCCGAGGGATTTGGAATGCAGGAAGGGGCTGTGGGTTGAAGCAGGGGGTTGGGGTGTGGGAGGGGGTGAGGGCTCTAGGCTGGGGGGGTGGGCTCTGGGGTGGGGCCAGGGATGAGAGGTTTGAGGTGCAGGAGGGGGCTCCAGGTTTGGGGGGGCTGGGGCATGGGGTTGCAGTTAGAGAGGGGGGCAGGCTCTGGGCTGGGGCCAGAGATGAGGGCTTTGGCATGCAGGATGGGGCTCTAGGTTTGGAGGGGGGCTGGGGTAAGGGGTTGGGGCACGAGCTTACCTCGCACGGCTCCCGGTCAGTGGCACAGCAGGTGGGGGGGCTAAGGCAGGCTGCCTGCCTGTCTGTCCTGACACCGCATTGCGCGCACGCCAGAAGGGGCTAGTAGGCAGGGGGCGGAGCAGGAGGCTCTGTGCGAGCTGCTCTTGCCTGTAGGCACCACCTCCCCCCCACTCCCATTGGCCAGTTCCCAGCCAATGGGAGTGCACAGCCGGTGTTCAGGGTGGGGGCAGTGCGCGGAGCCCCGTGGCCCCCCCCCACCCCTGCCTAGGAGCTGGACCTGCAGCCCGCTTCTGGGGCGCAGCACGGTGCCCCAGGACAGGTAGGGACTAGCCTGCCTTAGCGCCGCGGCGGTGCTGACCGGAGTCACCAGGGTCCCTTTTCGACTGGGTGTTCCGGTCGAAAACCAGACACCTGGTCACCCTAGATGGGGATGGTCCAGACTTCTCTTTATCTGAGATCCACAAACTTTCAGCTCATGCTGTCAGGTAGGTAGAGATTAAGGCAGTCCAGGATTTTGCCAGGGAGGATGCTGAAGAAGAAAAGACTGTTCAAAGTCTAGGATAAAGCCCTGCATCTGTTTCATTTTCCACAAAGAAGTAAAGAAGTTTGTCAAATAATTCTGGGGCATCCCAGAAGCTTGTTCTGCCCAGCAACAATGCACTATTTTAACTACCTGCCTATAATACTCTTCAATACTTTGAGGTAACACTCAAACATAAAAAATGGCAGTAACTGTGGTGTCACCAAATGAAGGGTCATTTCCATGAAAGAAAAGTATTTCTTCTGTGCATTGTGTAAGAATGAGCTGGTTCCAAATATCATTGATGTGTTCAGCCATGGTATTATGCACTACTAAGGCATGAACGATTAAGCTGCAGGTGCTAGATCCAGACTTCCTAACAGATCAAAAGTAGGTTAAAAAGGTTTAGACAAAATCCATTTGATTTCCAAGTTCTTTTGCAGTGATTCCCTAAACATGGTCATGCTACCATTCCCTTTTACTTATTAATATCCACACAGAAGGCGGGACCCTCTAGTTAGTGATGGCCATAGCACCATAATTCCAGGTCAAGCAGAGACTGATCACCATTTATTTTAGAATATAGACCTTTTTGGATGGGGCCCCGTACCAAGCTCTTAAAGTTCTCACAGATTTGTTGTCTTTTCCATCTCTTAGCAGACAGAGGAGTGAGATGTAATGTTTTGATTGTTTTGCAGAGGTTTACTCTGCTGTTCTCAAGTACCAAAGAGATCCAGGGGTGTCTGTGTACTTGTAGATCTGACATCATTCAGTCCCCTTGTGCCATACACAGAATTCAAAATAAAGACAACCCAGATAGTTATAGCAGCAGTTGTACCTGCAGGCATCCTCACTTTCAAAAAACCACATACCTGCATATACATATTGCATCATCACATCAAAAATATTTGCTTTGCTCTGGGTCAAGAGCACTTTTAATTTACACTTTATCCTTGCATTGCTCCCACCCACACCAGCACATTCTGCTCTATCTCAACAACAGGCTTCTGAAAGCTCAGTCAGCTCTAGAGGCGCCAAAACTAGTTTGTGAGTCAGTACAGCTGCTTACTCATATGGGGTTTATTATTAGCCTTAAGGAGAGTGAATTAGTGTGCTCTCAGAAATTGGTCCACCTGAAAACAGTCTTCAACATGTTCTAAGGTCTTGTCTACCTGTTCTACGAGAGGTTTGACAAGGTAGTTTTCTTAGCTCAGGAAGTTGGATGCCTATACAAACAAATGAATCTTCCCAGGATTTTCACAAATTCGATTCCCTGTTTTGTGCTATGTAAGGTTTTAAAAAAAGGAGCAGGGGGAGGGTTTGTTAAACCAATGTGGCTGTGTAACAGCATGAAGGAAATCTTCATAGCAGAAAAGAGCCTTCTGGACCCACTCTTTTCAGGACTCTTCATGAGTTGAAGGAGTGTCCTTCTGTCTTCCTTCTGCAAAGGTTGTTACTGATTTTTCAAGTAGGTTTGTGCTGCTGAGTCACTTACACACCTCTGAAAGTCCAAGCCCTAGTCAGGACTGGGGCCTCATTGTACCAGGCTCTATACACAGATTGCAAACCATGCTTAGACTGTATGCTCTTTTGGAAGGGACTGTCTCTGTGATCAGTGGCGTAGCCAGGTTTTAAGAGCAGGGGGAGCAAACATAAAAAAGGCGCCCCCCCTTGGCTCCTCCTCTGGCCACGCCCTCCCGTGGCTCCTCCTCCGGCTGCTCCGCGCCCACCCAGCTCCTCTCCCACGCCCCCCGCATCTCATCCCTCCTGCCATTGTCCCTGGCCAGCCCTTTCCCCGCCCCTCTGCTGCCGATGCCTGATGCCCGCCGGGCCGGGGCTCGCAGCTCGGCAGGCTGAGCAGCAAGCGGCCACCCGCCCGCCTGAGCCCGGCTGCACGCCTCACCCCTGCTCCGGCAGCCGGGCTGTTGCCATCAATTATTAATCGGCTCCCAGCAGCCGCGGTGGGGACCGGGAGCAGCCGCGATAAGGGAGGGTGGCAGGGAGGATGGGCGGGAGGGCAGCAGGGAGGGTGGGCAGGAGGAGGGGAGTGTGTGTGAGAGCTGCGCCTGGCTCACAGAGGCCGGCGGCTGCCCATGGAGCGGAGCCGGCAGCAGCGGCGCATTTGGAGAGCTGCGGGTCCCCCTCGCCACCATGTCCCCGTGCTGCGCGGCGGCCGCCTCGCCGGGAAGGGCCACCGCCCCGGCGGACACGGGAGGATGAGGCGGAGGCCGCGCCCTCCCCCATCGCTCCTTCGGCCACGCCCCCTCCCCTCTCTCCTCCTCCGCCCCCTCCCCCGCGGCGGGTGCACTGAGCCGGGCCGTTCTCAGCGGGGTGGCTGGCAGCACGGAGCCCAGCCAAACGGAGCCTTTCCCTCAAGGCTGCTGCCGAGGCGCCCAGCCTCCTCCCCCCTCTCCGCTTCTCCCCCCGGCCGCCAGCCCCCATATTGCCGAGCGGCACGTGCCCAGCCCAGCCCCGCTGCTGTGCATGCTCCCCCCGGCCCCCCGCCACCGCGAATGCTTCCCCTCCCCCCAGCCCCCCGCCGCCGCGCATGCTCCCCCTGGCCTGGCCTGAGCGCTCCGGACCCGAACGGGCCCAGCAGCGCAGCCCATCCCCACTCTCTACCTGGCCGCCTGGCGTGCTCCTCCGGACACGCCCGCCGCCCGCTCCCCCTCCCCCATGGCTTCTCCGGCCGTGCTGCCCTTCAGAGAGGAGCGGGCCCCACCTGCTGGCGCCATATAAGGTAACCCCTAAGGCGCCGCTTTTGAAAAAGGTGCTGAGGGGAAGCGGCTGCTTCCCCTGAACGCCCCTAGCTACGCTACTGTCTGTGATGGTTAGTACGATATGTCCCTGACTTCTAGGCGCTACCATAGTCATAAATCATCATCATCATCATGATTAATAATGTACATGCATATTGTGGAAAGACCATCCCTACCCCAGAGAGTTTACAATCTAAGTAACTCATACCAAGATACACACCTCTAGTTCTTCTACCTCAGTAAGCCTACCAGTGATTCAGCTGGCATACTGCTAGATATATAGCTTGCATTCCAAACTGGTGGGCACCTTGTAGAAAAGGAAATTTTGTTCTTGTCTTGTAAACTGACTTTCTGCAGAAACCACCAGTATGAAAGCCTCACCCAGGTATTAAACCTGTGACAGGTTACATACTACTAGAGAAGGTATGTTTCAAAGTTCTCAGACTTTGAGTTATTGTTTCAAGCTAAGGAAAGTTTATCTCAGGTTGAAAACAAGAGAGGACTCCTGGTATGAGGGGCTCTGTTGGGTTTCAAAAGCTCAGCAACCAACTAGAGGGTGGAGCTACTTGCACCAATATGATATGGAACAACAAGCCTGCAGTCCAGATTGGTAGTCTTGTTTGCAAAAGGTCAGTTTATAAGGTGAGACCAAAATTTCCCCTTTTTTTTTTTTAACCAAAACAATTTTATTTTTCTAGTGTTAAAAACCTCATTCGCTTTCAGTAGCAAAAATGTTGCCTTTGTTTGTAAGCATATAACAAATAATTGTTGATTTTATATTCATTTAGCTACAGCTCCTTCTATCCACGTGTGGGATGCAATGAACAAACAGACACTATCTGTACTGCGATGCTACCATTCAAAGGGAGTTTGTTCAGTCAGTTTCAGTGCCACTGGCAAACTTCTCCTCTCTGTAGGGCTGGATCCTGAACACACCATTACCATTTGGAAGTGGCAGGAAGGTAGGAAAGCATTTGTATTTTTACAATACATTTATATTGCCCCTAAGTCAATCAAGAACACACATCAAAATTGCAACATAAAAATTTTGGTTATCAACTGAAAAAAATGATTGTAATAAATGTTACATAGCATATACTGTACAAGTTAAAAATAAGATAAATGTGCTTAACTATTGTGATAATTGCCAAATGTATTTCCAGTGAATCATCCTTGTAAACATTGGATAAGAAAATCCCTTGACCTCCATTTATAATAATGAAAGTAAACCTTGTTTCATTCAGTTTTGTATTGAATCTATTTCTTTCTACTCAATATAAATCTTTTCACACCCAGAAGGAGTCCTCTAGAGGCTTGACTGATTGACACTCACAAAGACCACAGAACAAGCTGAAACTCTCAGAAATGTGATGCCTAAACTGCTCCTCCTGTATAATCTCTGAAATTACAACACAGGCCCAACTATAGTAAACAGTCATTCATAGCATCTCTGCTCTGAGTTCAAGGTTTTAGGCCACAGGACCTTGGGTTTTGTTGCCCATTCTCTCTTCTGCACTGTCCTGCTCCTTCTCTCTCTCCCCTTCCCAACTGGCAAGTTCATACCCAGACCATAACTACAAAGTTGCTGGTGCACTCAGAGCCTAAGGTTGCCAACTTTCTAATCGCACAAAACTGAACACCCTTGCCCTACCCCTGCCACGCCACTTCCTGAGGCCCCCACCCCTTCTCTGAGGCCCCACCTCCCGCTCACTCCATGCCCTCTCCCTCTGTCGTTCACTCTCCCCAACCCTCATTCACTTTCATGAGGCTGGGGCAAGGGGCTGGAGTGCAGGAGTGCAGGAGTGGGTGAGGGCTCCGGCTGGGGGTACGGGCTCTGCAGTGGGGCCAGAAATGAGGGGTTCAGAGCGCAGGAGGGGGCTCAGAGCTGGGGCAGCGGGTTGGGGTGCAGAAGGGTGTGTGGGCTCCAGCTGGGGCTGTGGGCTCTGGGTTGGGGCTGGGGATGAGGTGTTTGGGGTGCAGGAGGGGGCTCAGGGCTGGGGCAGGGGGTTGAGGTGTGGGAGTGTGTGCAGGGTGTGGGCTCTGGGAGGGAATTAGGGTGCGAGAGGCGGTTCTGAGCTGGGGCAGGGGGTTGGGGTGTGGGCTCCAGCTGGGCAGCGCTTACCTCAGGCGGCTCCCGGTCCATGGCGCAGCAGGGCTAAAGCAGGCTTCCTGGCTCCACGTGGCTCCCAGGAAGCAGCCGGCATGTCTGGCTCCTAGATGGAGGGGCCAGGGGGTTCTGTGTGCTTCCCATGCCTGCAGGCGCCACCCCCGCAGCTCCCATTGGCCACAGTTCCCAGTCAGTGGGAGCTGCAGAGCCAGCGCTTGGGGCGGGAGCAGCACACAGAGCCCCCAAGGCCGTCCCTGTGCCTTAGAGACGGACATGCCGCCGCTTCTGGGAGCTGCTCGGAACCAGGGCAGGCAGGAAGCCTGCCTTAGACCCGCTGCACGGCCGACCAGACTTTTAGCGGCCCCGTCAGCGGTGCTGACTGGAGTCGCCAGGGTTCCTTTTCGACTGGGCGTTCCAATCTAAAACCGGACACCTGGCAACCCTACCAGAGTCCTGAACCCTGGGTGCTGACATGTTACACTATCCAATGACTGGCCACTTTCCCATCTGGTGGTCTTTGCTGACCAAGGAGAAATCCATCAGGAGTGATGAGTGGATGTAATGAAAATGACCCACACATGGGCAAAGATAGAGCCTGTATAGTATGTTTAGTAAGGGCCTGTCTAGTAAGTTTCTCCTTACCATTTTAGTCAAGATGCCACTATCTTAAACTTGCTCATCCTCAAGAGTTCATATGGTTCCATCTGGATAGCTACAGAGCCATCAAATGCTTCCTGGATAGGACAAAGTACTTTAGGTAGTCAGATACTTTGTTCATCTGCTGTGCAGGTAAGAAAAAAGCATCTAAGACAACCATCTTCAAATGGGTCAGAACATCTAATTTTGAAAACTATGTATAGGCTGGAAAGGCACCATCTTCGAGTCTTAGACTGATTTTGTTGAATGTACTCTACTCATCTTGGACAGAGAGAAATAGAGCAGCTTTGGAGAAAAATCTGCAGAGCAGCCCCTTGGAAATCTCTGCATATTTTGACCGGATGCTAGAGCTGGGATTTTCAGAGGCCCTAAGGTAGTTAGGCTCCCAAATCTCATTGAAATACAATAGGAGTAAGGCCCTGATCATTAGGCCCCTTAGAAAATTAAAGCCTACAAGTAGACATAGCATCTTCACCAGATGCTGTCTTGGTCATCAAGTCTTTCAGTCTTCCATTCTTCTTGATCTGTCTCCTCATTTCATTCTTCTCCCGCACACCACCTTTCTCTATTCTGGAATGTTTCCTATGCTGGGTACGTAGTTTGTATATGTGTATAGTTTTCTAGGGTTTAAAGCATTGGAGATATGCCATTCCAGGATTTATATAGGAGGAACAGTTTGGGGTTTCAGCTACTTTTTTTTTACTGTTGTGGGGATGAATAACTCATCAGGCTCCAGAGTAAAGGATTCCTCTGTTGGGAGAAGACATATATTTGTGGTAAGTTCAAATTCTCCATTTTCTTTTTGCCAGGTGCCAAAATTGCCAGCAGAACTGGTCATAACCAACGTATATTTGTAGCAGAATTCAGACCGGATTCAGATACCCAGTTTGTTTCAGTGGGAGTAAAACATGTGAGGTTCTGGACCCTTGCTGGAAGAGCTCTTCTCAGTAAAAAAGGGCTACTGAGTTCAATAGAAGATGCCCGGATGCAGACCATGCTATCTGTAGCTTTTGGAGCTGTATGTACCTTAACAAATTCTTTAAAAATGCATACATACAAAACATCCTTTTTACATTTTATTCTTCCATGTCTGTATATGTAGTAAAATGAGTTATCCTGAACTTTTCTGCCATAAATGCCTATTTGCATAATAGATTGCTGTAACCTGGTGATTAGTATATAAACTTATTATTTCTAGAGCTTATTCTTAATTAAAATTAAATTAATTCTCTTTAGAAAAAGGTTATGAATTCAGATACTCCCAGTGTTGTATAAATTTCGTATGTATTGATTTTTGATCACTAAAAATATTCCCATCTAGTCCCATTCTATTTTATTACTTTACAAAAAATGATAGGAAGATTTGACCTTTGGGTAACAAATGTCCATCTTCCAGCCATGCTTGTTCCAAGACAAAATTTAACTAAGCAAGATCCAAATTTTTGGGGAATAAGTCACAATATGCAGTATGCATTTAATGTAGAAAGTTTATAAAAAGGTATAAAAAACAGCCATACCACCCCAGGTTGTGAGGTCATCATATCTTACCAGGATCAGGACTGATCTATACTTGGATGGGAGATCCCCAAGAGAAATCTAGCATCTATGGGAAGTTGTTTGGTGTTTCGGTTGGTACCACTTTTCCCTTCAAGTCAATATTTAGCAGCCCAGCATAATTAAGTCATTGTAATATGTAGGGTGACCAGCTGTCCCGTTTTTATAGGGACAGTCCCGTTTTTGGGGACTTTTTCTTATATAGACGCCTATTACCCCCACCCCCTGTCCCGGTTTTTCACAGTTGCTATCTGGTCACCCTAGTAATATGCCCTCTTTCAGCTGAAACCTAAAACCTGAGATTCTCATCTCTTGTGTTCATTAAACATGAAGAATTATCTGTGGACTCTAGAGAAGCTCTAGGGTGGCTCTGTTCTCTCCTGCCTAAAGATTCCCAGAAGGTGGTACAGGGAGGTAGTACCTCTTCCCTTAAGGCACTTTTATGTGGAATTCTGCAGGGAACTTGCTGGCTGAAGTTCATTCCAGATAAGACTGAGGTGATGTTGTTAAATTGGGAGAGGCAACCAGAAGAAATTAAGAGAATAACTTTCCCACTTTTATTAAGGTTTTGGGCCCACCATGGGGTGGTTCTTGTTCACAGTCTGGGTGTATTGTTGCATTCCCCAGCTGCTGTGGGATGATCATACAGCAAAAGTGTCAAGGAATGCTCTTTGAGGATAATTACCCATGGCAACAATGTACCAAGGATTATGGTGGATTCTTTTAAAAGATATGCTCTAATTCAAAGGAAATTAGTTTGGAGGAGTCCTATGGCCTTTGGTATACAGGAGGTCAGACTAGATGATCATAGTGTCTCTTCTGCCCTTGGAATCTATGAAAATGATCTGTGCCTTGCTAAAAGATTGTGACCATTTCTTTGAGCTAAACCAGGACCCACACCTTTGTCACTTGAAGACTGGATTGCTGCAATGTGCTGTACATGGTGCTATATCTTAAGTAAATTTAATAAATTAAGCTGGTGCACAATGTGGCAACCTGCTTATTAACTGGTACTTCTGAATGGCAGAACATGACACCTGTTCTGTATGATCGACAGTAGCTGCCTATTGGTTTCCAGACTGACTTTAAATTGTTGTTTGTGACCTCTAAAGCCCTAAATGGCTTGGGACAGACTGCCTCTCTATCACGGTTGCAATTGGCAGATGTGTTTGAGCTGGATTCCCCTTGATTTAAAAGAGGGGGCTGGTGTGTAGAGCGTTCTCCTTGAGTGGCCCTTAGCTCTGGAACAGGCTTCCCTCTTCTGGTCCAGTATAATCTGAGTCAGTTGACCTTTGTGTCACAGTGCAAGCGGTAGTTGTTGGTCCAAGCTGCATCTAAGGGTGAAGTTTGAGAGCGGTGAACCTGTGGGGAAGTTTTGTCTTCTGCTGGCACTTCAGTTTTATTTCTGTTTTTGTAATTCATACCAAGGGTGCTTAGGGAGGGTGGATAAGTGCCTCTCATTACTTTTGCATACAAATCTAGATAAATAAATAATTTTTTTAAAAGTATGGGCAACTTTTCACAAGCATAGGGATGGTGTTTAGTAGCAGTTTCCTGGCCACATTCCCATGTATCCATCCTGCCTAAATGCCCACTGCAGTTTCAATTGGATATAATATTTTTCTTCACTTTTAGTCATTTGATGTTATGTGATGTTGCTGTACAGAGATAAACAGCTGTGTCATTCCCTGCACAGAATCAGCTGCATTTCAGTGGTGGGTGGCAATGAGTCATGTAAATACCGTAAATAGCTTGGAAAGTGAATCGGGATCCCTGGGAATTAAATGTTTTCAATGCATATAACATCATCCTCATCATCATAAAGATTGTGAGGAACTCAGATACTATGATAATGGAGGCTATATTAGTGCCTTAGATAGAGATGTGACTTCAAGGGAAACCAATGACAGATAAAATCAGCAGAGTCAATCACGGGAATGTATTTTCTCCACATTGATATAATATCTTATGTATTAAATATCACCAATAATTTGAAACATAAAGAATTCTGCACTTACTTAACAGAAACATTTTGTACTTCCCAAGCATTTAGTTGTTACTGGTTTTAAATATTTTTCAATATCATTGCTTCTGAATACCTAAGGTAGTTAAGCTTAACTTTACTACCCCTCAAAAATAGGACGCACAGTTAAAGAAAACCATAGTTATGTTCCATTGAGTTAGATTCTTACTTCTTTCCTTTTTTAAACTGACCATCTCTGTACTCCATTGAGGGCAGTGCTGTACCTAATAGCTGGACACTGAAGATGATTTCCATCAAACATTGTGCTTGAAGTATAGTAGTAATAGTCTGACTTACTGTTTTTGTGTGAAACATGATACTAACTAGTATCTTAGCTGCTCCTGATTTCCTGGCTGCTCTTCCGTGGTTGTGCAAAGGGATGATGCGGAACGGACTTGAGAGCTCTGTCCCTAAATTCCATACCTTGCACTTTCTCAGTGCAGGAGGGGAGTGTTCATGCTCCCTGCAGTGCTGGACATCTCAGCCTAGGCATGACCTTTGCTCTATCCTTCGTCCACATTGACTGGAGAAGAGCATGTGCCTTTAAAAGTGCATAGCAACTGATTCTCTTTTATGTGCTCACCCTCTAACTTGGAAGATCTGCCTACCTTTTTCCTCTACAGATGGAGTACCTCTGGGATCTGCCATTGGTCCGTATCCCTCTACAAACACCACTTTTACAGCAATGACTAATAAAGCCACAATCTAGCCCAAAATGTAGAATTTGTTTATTATCTATTTATTTATTACAAAAATTAAATATATTTCTTCTTGACTTATTCAGAATCAGATGATAAGTATATTTTCCCCCCTTTTCAGAATAACTTGACATTTACAGGTACCATCAGTGGAGATGTTTGTGTTTGGAAAGATCATGTATTGATACGAATTGTGGCCAAAGCTCACAATGGGCCTGTATTCACAATGTACACTACGCTAAGAGATGGTCTAATCGTAACAGGAGGCAAAGAAAGACCGTGAGTCTTTTTGTTTTATCATTCAGATATGTTTTACTAAGATATTATGTGCTGTACAAATGTGCTTCAGAACATGAAATTTCAGTAGTTACCATCAGTCACTTTATTTAAGCACCTGTGCAAGCTATTTCAAACATTTCGTGATGATTTTTCATTATTAAGATTAAGACTGACTACGTCAAATAGTTTTGAAACAGTAAAGAAATAAACACTCTTTTACAATGGGAGCATTACATACAGTGGAAGCCGGGGAATGGGGCCCTTGCTGGACCACTGAGGGGAAATACAGGCCTGAACTGTAACAATGAAATTATCAGTTTTCCCTTGCCATGAAATATAAATTGACCACCCCTTTCTCACACAGATATCTTTGTCAGGAAAACTCATGAGACACTTGAGAGGTTAAAGAAAACCTATTCAATAGCATGGCCCTTGGGTCCGTCTTAATCAGATTTCAAAAAGAAGATCCTTTATTTTCATTACCAGTGCCAGTTTTCTTCCAATCCCTTTTTACACTTTCAGAGCTGGCATTAGAAGGGATGCAGTAGAGAGGAAAGCAGCATCATGAGAGGGAGCTGTCTTCTGCTCCTCTAGCCTCATTTGCAGATGCCAATAGCACACAGCAGATTTAATGAGACTGAAAGCTCAACAAGATTAAATATTGCAGAACACTACATATTTCCTTTCATTTTGGTGAGATCCTTTTCCTTTCCCTTGGAGATAGCTGTTAACATACACTGCGTCCAAATACAAAACTCCATCAAATTTATGATTATTTCCCTAAAATAATAGTCTTGCATTTTTAAAGATGTTTTGCTTTTAATATGTTCTTTTTATTTGCTACTTATTTCTCGACATTCTAATGTAATATTGAGTGTCTCAAAGCCAAAAGGGTATTCTTATCACATAAGTTCAAAAGAATCAATGAATATATTGAAAAAGGTAAAAATAAAATCAACTCATAACTGCTGTACATTGTCTTCTATTCTGAAGAATCTTAAAACACATTGCACACTTTAATGTAAACTATACAGACTACTTAAAAACACAAAGACATACAATTTTGTAGTATGTTTGATAATGGAAATCACTAGGAAATATCAGTTTTCCTGAAAAAAAATGGTGACAAAAGTATTTTGTAATTGTGTGTGTGTGTGTGTGTGTGTGTGTGTGTGTGTGTGTGTTTTGGCATTTAATGTAGATCAAAAGTACTAAAAGCTATATCTCCTCCTCTTGTTCCCTGATTTGCATTTTGAGACTCTCCACCTATCTTACTAATCAAATACAGAAGATGTATGCAATATATTTGCATACTTGGCTAATGCTTTGACCACACAGATTTCTGAAGATATGCTGAGACCACTTTTAAGAGCAATGGAAGCCTGCATACTTACACATCAATATTTATAACTATCTGTTGAAAAATAGCAGTTGCTCATGATAAGTAATTGAATCATTTAGCAGAAATGTAATGCAATGCTTTGGTCTAGTAACACTTATAGCTAAAATACATAATTAAAATTAACCTCCACAGAGCATGCACAGCCTATCAAAATAACCACACAATGTTATTGCTCTACCCCGGTGCCTCAGTTCTGCTCTAAGAGGCTGTGTTTGGCTGCTCTAAGTTGTGTTTAGAGCTGGGAAGGCCCTTATTCTGGGCCAAAATTAGGGAGACACAAAAATAACTTAGTCCCCACTGACCTTGTTTTCTGCACCCAGTACAAGAAGGGAGTAATGGAGAATCTGGCCTTTTTCCTGCCATTTCCTCATCCCCATTGTCTATCATCTCATGCCTTTTCCATTTGTGGACTGTGAACTCTACAGAACAGGGACCATATCTTTTACTTGTTCTATGAAGCATCTAGAACATTGAAGGCACTGAATAAAAAATAAACAATAATAATAATTAAAAATACATGCTACAAATCTTATTCTGTTTCCTATTTCCCCATCAACACCGTCCCCATTGCTTCTCTTTCAGTTTTCCTCTTCAGTTTCTTTTCTTGTATTTTCTTTTGCTTCCCTCTTTCCTTCTCTCTTCTCTTCCTTCACTCTCTCCTTGTTTTACTGTTATGGCTCACAGGTAGTGTTTAACATATAGTACTAAACCAGTAGTTTGGGAAATTCACTCCTTTCTTCACATCATATGATTTTAGTCACTACACAAAAGAGTTTTCTAAATGCCATTTCACTACAGCAGGGAAGAAGCATTACAGTGCAGGAAATTGAGGAGCACCATATGAATTACAGAATCTGTAAACTAACTATGCCTTTGATTTATTTTTCCTCTGGACAGTAATTCAGAGATTTCAGCAAAATTGATCATCTTTATAGATTAATACACATAATTCATTCAAATCAAAGAATGAATGTGTTTTTGAAAGATGAGATTAAAACAGTCAAAAAGCAAATCTACCTTGGTTTAAAAACTGTTAAGGTTTAATAAATAAAATTATTTATCTATAATCTGAAATTTATTTTTTTTAGACTGGTATATATTGCATATTAATATTTTTCCTATACAAATGCTAATGGAATCTTTAAGGAATAAACTTATAATGCCTTTATTTTGTTTATTACATTAGTGCCTAAGGGCCAATCAAGAATGGTGCCCCACTGTGCTTGGCACTGAGTTGTAGAGGGTCCCTGCCCTGGAGAGCTCACAATTTAAATAGACAAGACAGAGACAGGGTGAGGGAAAGGGATATAACACACAAACAGTGAAGAGTATGATGGCAGCCAATGTCATTTTAGTTCCATGCTTTTTAGGAGTGGGTTTTCTTAGGAGGGGATAAGCTAAATGAAAAAAAATGGGAAGGAGGGGGACGTTAAACTACATTAAGTAACAAAATATTTTAATTGACTAAAATACGAGCTAGCTTTCATACTTAAGTGTCTTTGGCTACTATCTTATTAGATCAAAGGAAGGAGGGGCTGTTAAACTATGGGATCAGGAGCTGAAGCGATGTCGTGCCTTCAGATTGGAAACTGGACAGATGACTGACTGTGTTCGTTCTGTGTGTAGAGGCAAAGTAAGGCATGTTCTCTTTAATATATTGCTGTCAATCCTTGGGTTATTATACAGCAAATTGATATACAGAAGCATTTTTGCAGAATCTTTTTCTCATGGTTATTAGTTTGAATAATTAATACAAGTTGATGTCAACTTTAAAGAGTTACTGAAGAATCTAACTTTAATTTATTATTTAAAATGTTCTTAAATTAAAGGCTTACTATGGCTGTAGATTATCAGTCATAAAGCATACTTTCCAGTCTACACATAAATACACTTAAGGAAATACTAGTCCCAGTTAGGATGATATTGTGTATACAACTTGATTAAAAAATAACGAAGGATCGCTTTCCGTATTTAGCACCCAGACCATTATAACAACCCTTGAATCGAATACATCCTTTTAAATTTGGAGGCAGAGAATGATTCAGTTTTATATCTGATGTCTGACTTATTTCAGACAATAAGAAGATTCACATGCCGATCTCTTCATTAACAAAATTTAATCCTTATTTAATTTCAGCAGCCCTTCTTGATGGAATTATAACCATGGTTCATTTACTATTTATAAGTATTAGCTAATATATTATTACAGTAATAATTCTTTCACCATTGTCCCAGGGGAAAATTCTTGTTGGGACAAGGAATGCTGAAATAATTGAAGTTGGAGAGAAAAATGCAGCATGTAACATTCTAATTAATGGTCATATGGATGGACCTATCTGGGGACTGGCTACACATCCTTCAAGAGATTTTTTCCTTTCTGCTGCAGAAGATGGGACAGTGAGACTCTGGGACATTGCTGAAAAGGTTGGTGTAAAGTTAATAGTACTAAGCAGCTATAATTTTAGCAAAAAAGAATCCGAGATTTATTCAATAGTGAGGATTTAAAATAGTTTCTCAGACTATGGTAAGAAAAACTAAGCTAGTATAGTGGTTGTGACACTGTCTTTTGCATAATAAAAAGTATCCATTGAATGTTAATGAGAAACTGGTGGTTATGGATTATTTTGGAACATGCATAAATAGAAACATTTACTCTTTTCTGGTTTTTATTTTCTCACAGAAGATGCTGAACAAAGTCAGTTTGGGACATGCAGCTCGGACTGTTTCTTACAGCCCCGAGGGGGACATGGTGGCTATTGGCATGAAAAATGGAGAATTTATTATCTTGCTGGTGACCTCTCTAAAAATATGGGGGAAAAAAAGGGACAGAAGATCTGCTATCCAAGACATAAGGTCAGAAAAGTCATGGCATTTATCTAGCCTTGAAATGTGATAATGAGCTGATAAAATAAGCAAGCAATAATTTAAAAACAAAAACTCCACTCACATAAGGTGATTTATTTTATAAGGAAGTCCCCTATTCAAAAGTTGCTAGTCACCTGGAGTTCGTATACCTAAAACACCATATTAATCCCCTCCCAAACCAGTGTAATTTTCAAAGTGTGTGCTTTGAGAATAGTTTTATAATACAATATAATTTACTTTTGTATAGTATCCATCGTACAGAGTATTACAAAATGCTTTGCAGAGAGATAGAATAGAGTGAATGCTTTACAGAATTGGGTATAATGACTTCAATACAAGGCATAAAGAGAAAAAGGACATATGAAGATGGAGTAGAACAAATGGAGTAGAACAGAAAGCTGGAACCTAAGCAGTAGAGATGTCAGTAAGTATCGTCAGACACTACTTACAATGAAGGGGAAATGGAAGGGTTCTGTCATAAGTGAGCCCAGTTCAGAACTCTAGATTCAAAAGAGAAGAAATCAACTCAGCCTTTTAGAGGGAGAGAGAAGTTCAACAGAGGTAGGGTAGCACAAGAGAAAGAGTGACTCCTGATTGAGGAGAGTCACAAGGAGGGGAGATAGATGACAAAATTTGAAATAGAATAGTAAGTGGCAGAGAATAAGGTGACTGTAAGGTAAGAATATTAAGATGGAGAAAGTTCATGGAGGGATTTGAAAACAAGAGGACAATTCTGAATTGGATTAGGATATAAATAAGATGTAATTGATTGTAATGGAAGATGGGGAAGTGACAATATGGTTCTGATTTTGGTGCAAGTGTAGTCAAGCTGCAGCATTCTGGATCATATAATTTAAAAAGTAAGGATTTAGGAAGACCATAAAAACAGAATAAAACATGTTCCTTTCCCCAAAGAGTTTATAATAAAAAATAGACAAGATTAGACAAGAGTTCAGGGAAGAGAGAGTAAGGAAAGATCATTGGTACAAGAAAGAATTAATTGATTCCTAGAAGAAATTAGTTTTCAGGAGTGATTTCAAGACTAATGGCTTCACAGACAGGGAGTAGGAACCAGTAGATTAAGCATAGGGCAGACTGAAGGTAAAACATTGTGTGTGTGTATGTGTGTGAAAAGGAGACAGGATTGGAACACCTTTATGGAGCAAAATACAATCAAAAATATAACAGGAAAAGATACATTTACACAGTGGTGTGATCAGATACTTAATAGAAGAACTACAGGGATTTTCACATATCAATTTTGCCTGGCAGGTCTACAAACATTAACAAACGTAAATTACTCCAACATTTTTATTTCAGTTTCAAATCTTGCTTTATATAGTAGATTATTCCTCCCTTTTCAGTTTTTTGCTTTGTAAACAGTGTATTTTCCTCAATATTTAGCTGATTAGATTTCATTTTGGCCACACTTCATTCAAGTGGTCCCTTCCAATGGCTCTTCTCTCCATTCCATCCTTCATTGCTAAGAAAAATAAAATTGATTCTCTCTTCTGTAAATCTACATGCCCATCTTTTTAAAGTAGTGAAGATTAAATCTTCTTTCCAGCAGCTGGAAAGTTAGTCTGTGGCTAGAATGAAATTCAGTCAGACCATGTGCAAAATGTTTTTGCTATGAGAACTCATTGAGAGAAGCAATAGTAATTCAAATATATTGTAGAGAAAAAAAAATCACATTTTTAAAATCTTTTCTATTACTAATAATAAATCATGCTGAAAGAGAAAGTAGGACCAGACAAATTTTATGTTTTCTCTTGTCTTTCATCCCTTAGAATAAGAGCTGCATCCATTTTGTAACACTACCTTGCAAAAAAAAATATATCAGAGGGTTGAAAAAAAAATAGAAAAAGAAATTCTAAGATCTTACTTTTTTCTTCTTTTGAATTTCAACCTCTCTTCTTAAACTATTTATCTATTCAGGTTCAGTCCAGATTCTCGTTACTTAGCAGTGGGTACTAGTGAGAATGCAGTGGATTTTTATGACTTGACATTGGGCCCCACGCTAAATCGAGTTAGCTACTGCAAAGATATCCCAAGCTTTGTTATCCAGATGGACTTCTCTGCAGATAGCCGTTTTCTCCAGGTATCAGTCATTTGAGACCATTGTATTTATTTTTAAGTTTGTAAGTAAATGTATTGCTCATGAAGGTCTATTAACACTTGTTCATACCAAATATATTAGTGACAGATACCATGCAAGATTCCTTATGAAGCTCCAGTAATCACAGCTCAGTCCTGACCAGCAGCTCCCCCAGTATTTCAGTCCTGGGCCTATCATGGTTAGAAACTGATAGCTGTGTTAAATGGTGAGGTTGTTTTGTGATAGGCATGTATAGATCACAAATAAAAATAAGTTGTTTGGACTCATCTTAGTACCTGAGTGTGAGAAATAAATACAGAAAGCAGAAGTGTACTTCTGAATTACTAAAAAGTGACAGACTGTTCACCTGCCTCATCACCTTGTTGAAGCTGGGTTTGCAACCTTTTGGAAGTGAGAAGGAGTACAATCTTTCTTCCCAGGAATCATCAGGAAACTATGGCATACCCTTCAGATTCTTGACCATAATAATAGAGGAAGTGCCCCTGTGCACATCCTATCAGTACAAGCCTCCTCTGATGAGCACTCTACCCATGTTGCCATGGCTCTCACAGCGTATCTACACATTTTGACCCCTTTCTATGAGGTCACAAGCCCAAGCTTCAGGCTGCTGTAATTTACACTGGTCGCAAATGGCTCCAACAGGCCAAAAATAAATATTGGGATCAGCATGGAGTAGAGATGTCCTAGCAGCACTCCATTTTCCCTACTGCACCAACATCAGGGAGGAGGAATAGCATACGAGCTCTTATGTGGCCTCTTCACCACCAAAGGATCATACGCAGACTGGGGTGAGCCTCCCCAGGCCAATTAAGCAACTTTTAAGTCCAGTTTATACCTGCATTATTTACAACAGTTACTCTTTTAATTGGGGGCTGTGTCGTAAGGAATGTACATGCATTTCACTCACATTTTATTAGTAAGACTTTTTTAAATTAAAAATTGATCACCATTTCTCATTGTTCTCTACTTGTATACATTTTTGGGAAGCATGAAATCTTCCCACAGAATACTTCCTCTGATTCTACTCTATTTCAGAGCCATCGATAATAACATTGAGTGTATAATTATATCCTTACCACTTCAAATATCTTCAAAAAATTTTAACTCAAATGAACTCTTATTTCTGGATGTTCATCCTCAAAGGTCTCTACTGGGTCTTACAAAAGACAGGTCTATGAAGTGCCTTCGGGAAAACAGCTTATGGACCAGGCAGTGATTGACAGAATAACATGGGCCACTTGGACCAGGTACCTAATTCACACAGATTCACTCTTGCTACTGGAGTAAAAGTTCAGATGTCTCCCACCTGGAAAGAAAACCATAGGTCTGGAAATGACCATATTATCATGAAGGATACTGCAACGCTACTGCGTTTGAGCTATATTTTTCTTTAAAACATGCCTGATTGATCTGGCAACAAAGTAGTCGTACATTATACAGTCACATGGGAAGAATATATAGGCTCCACTTGAGACCACTGGCAATTAGCCCAATCAAGGTATTAGATGCATATGGTCTCTGGATGGAGGCTATGAGTTTTCGCGCTCTTTAAGTACCCTTTACAGCTTTTGATCCAGCATCTAAGGCAGCAGTTCTCAAACTGTGGGTCGAGACCCCAAAGTGGGTCACAACCCTGTTTTAATGGGGTCACCAGGGCTGACTTAGACTTACTGGGGTCCGGGGTCGAAGCCGAAGCCCTTGGGCTCCAGCCCTAGGCAGTGGCACTCAGGTTACAGACTCCCTGCCTGGTGCTAAAGCCCTTGGGCTTTGGTTTTGGACGCCATCACCCGGGGCGGCGGGGCTACGTCAGACTCAGACTTTGGTCCCCCCCTTCTGGGGTTGTGTAGTAATTTTTGTTCTCAGAAGGAGGTCGTGGTGCAATGAAGTTTGAGAACCCCTAATCTAAGGCAACCTGAGAGATCATACATCCCATTCTCCCAGTTAATTGAATGTGTTGCAGCAGTAGCTGGAAATAGCAATTAGAGGGCAAGTCAGGAAAAAATCTAAAATTGGTTTCAAATAAAAACCTGCATAATACAAGCCTGTGATCATTTAAGTTTTACAGAGCCTATTAGAGCATGTGTAGTAGACAGTGCTAGATTATATACAGTACTGCTGTTTACCATATGAGAAAAATATGATTATTATTGGTGTATTCAAAAATATACAAAAGAAATCATTGTATAAACAGATATTATATTTAAAATTATATTTTATTATGTTTGACATTCGTTTTTTTTTAACTACATTGTTTTATTTTACATTGTATATTTAATTACTTTATTTTGATTTTTATAGAAATAAAAATCACTTTTGCCATGCTCTAGGCTCATTTGACAACTCTGTAAAATCACAATGAATTCAAAATAACAAATCCTGCAATATACCTTCATTCATGCACTAAAGGTTAATTGAAAAAAACATTCTTTTTAAAAACAAAAAATCACCAGCCCCATACATCTCCCACTTTCTCAAAACCCTGAACAAGAGCTGGGATCTGTAGCATGCCCTGAAATTTGGAATTCACTCTCCATAATGGTATGAAGTAGCTCAAGTCTGCCAAAGTCACTGGGTCTTTAAAGAGAGAGAATGTCCTGCCAGCAACCCATTCCTTTTCAAAACAAAAGGGTTCCTGATCATAATCGGGATAGCATCAGATAGAGGGAGAATTTTCAGGTCAGCAGGTCCCAAGCCATTTTTGCACCTATTCATTTTATGATTTAATAGTGAGTTGATTAATTTATTATATTCCTTGTTTAATTGTGTTTGAAAGAAACACTGTCAGTTGACCTAGCCCTAACTGTATCATAACTTTATTTTAAAATATAATACTCAAGCCTGATCCAGAAACATTCTAGCATCCCAAATTTTCAGCATATAAATTATAATCCATCATATAAACCAGTGCTGGGTTTCTCTTCAGGTTGTGGAATGTACATGTACATTATAATTAAAGCTAGCCAGAGACCAATAATTTCATTTCATGAGGATTTTCGAGGTTTGAAATGTATTTTAGATCCAGTGCAGGATGAAAACCAAACTTTTCAAAAGTTTTTGCAAACTGGAAAGTTATTGAAATGTCAGTTTTCAGAGCAAAAAGGTTAGCTTTTGATTTGGATCTCTCTTTCTGGAATGGACCAGGGTCTGCCCTGGACCTCAGGAACCTTTCGGTCAAAAATGCCATTAAAATTCATACAGCTCCACAAAACATTTTAATTTCCGTGAAACAGCATTTTCCCATGAAAACATATTTCACAAAAAATGTTCTGACTAGCTCTAATTGTAACATCTCTGTTCAACTTCTGTACATTGTACTTCACATAATTTATTTTTCTATATTTGACAATTGCCTCATTGGTCAATTTTAACTATCAGTTTCATCATCTGCTTTTTAGCTTTGTTAGCCATGTTATATTTTTTTTTTTGGTAAATTGTTTACTTTAATTCCAGATTCTCATAATCACAGAATACTATAAAAATCAGTTTATTATTTCTAAACCTATTGCTTTTCCTACAATGCATTAGTTGCCAAGGGGGCCCTCTCACCCTTCTATTTCAGTATTCTAGGGGATGAAGTAGTTGGAATCTGGTCCAGGCATGCTGAGAAAGCTGATGTGAACTGTGCCTGTGTCTCTCACTCTGGAATCAGCCTTGTAACAGGCGATGACTTTGGCATGGTCAAGCTGTTTGACTTTCCATGTCCTGAAAAATTTGTAAGAACCTTTTGTTTGTGTGATTGTAACACAAAGTGCTTTTGATTTTGTGGCATCCTATAATATCTCTGGAGGGAGGGTGGTGGTAGTGCTTTTTCCCCCGCTGAGTTTAATAGCTTTTTAATGTATGCATTTAATTGTAGCTCCATAGTCTTACAAGCTTGCTTGCTATCCAGGATTCCCTAAACCCTTGTACAATAGCTGTAGCCACAATCCATGATTTCAAATAATCTAAAAAACTAGCAATAGTACTGCTTGCTATCTTGCATTAATAAAGTGCCTTCATTATGAAGATCTCAAAGCACTCTACAAATGTGGATAAGTAACACTATCTCCATTTTACAGATAAGGAAACGGAGGCACAGAGGTTAAGGACTTGTTATGGAAACAAACTGTGACTGCACAGTATAAATTAACAGCAAAATGGTTGCACTTGTGTCCCTATCTGTAGGTATTTTCATGGTAACAGTTATTGTTTGGCTGTTAAATCCCTTTAGTCAGAAAGAACATAATGAAAATGTAGTGGAAATTTAGAGTTCATCACTGGCTCCTGTAGCAAGGAGACAACTTTCTGAACTGTGAACAAAGAACATGGTTTCTCTTAAGCCATGTCTTCACTACAAAAAAAAAAAAAGAAAGGTGTGTTCTGATGGGAAGCCTAGGCTTTAACTTCAGCCGCTGAGTAACTCACATGAAAACAAGTGCATTGTCTTCACAAGGATTTGAACTTGTTACACACCTTTGTTTGAAGACAAGGCCTTAAGGCAGAAATCTGTAATTTCTGTGTAGAATGAACAGAAATAGTCTGTTCACAAGCTGGAACATGATGGCCAGTCATGAGAGAGAGTCAGCGGAGGGAGCAGAGCATGAGTCAGAAGAAACAAGAAATTGGCCAAAACAATAAAAATAAAAGGAAAGTAAAGAAATTTGGTTTTTAATTTTTTGCCCCCATTCCCGATGTCTCCTCCCTCTCCTGCCACAGAAGGTCTCCCTTACATGCAAGTATCTGCACATACAAATACTGCCCACCTCACAGACACCCATCTGTGGAAAGCAGGCTGTTACGGGGCGATCCTCACCTCCGCGGTGCCTCCTGCTGGCCTCCCGGGGAATTAGCTCGCCTGCCTCCGGAGTGCTCTCTGCAGGCCGGTGTCCTGCATGTCACTGGCCCCCATGTCCCTCCCAGACCCACCCACTATCCCCACCTCGCCTCAGTATCAGGCTACTGCCAATCACCATCTAGCCCCCGTTCACTGGGGCAGACTGCAGTGTACAAGCCACTCATCACAGGCAAGGGAGGTTTGGACCTGCTGCCCTCTGCAACCCCAGTACCCTTCTGGGCCTTTAACAAGGCCTGCAGCCTGGAGGGTTTCCAGGCCGGAGCTCCCCAGTTCCTCTGGCCTGCCCCCAGCCCTGCTCCACTCTAGGCACCCTGTGAGCTCCTAAGCAGCCAGGCCCTTCCCTCTCTAGAGGCAGAGAAAGACTGACTCTGCTCCTGGCCCACTGCCCTCTTATAAGGGCCAGCTGAGCCCCGTTTGGGGTGTGGCCACAGCTGAGCCTGCTTCCCCAATCAGCCTGGGAACTGCTTGCTCCCAGCCACAGCCCTCTCCTGGGCTGTTTTAAGCCCTTTAAGGCCAGAGCGGGTGACCACCCCGCTACACAGGCACATTCAAAAAGAGCAGTGGTGGGCTACCCAAGGAGGACTTAGGCATTGCAACGCTTAGCATTGCCGCACTTGAACTTAGGTCTCCTACCTCCTAGGAAAATGCCCCAATCACTGAGCTATGGGGTATTTTGGGGCTGATCTGTGTCTCAGTTTCTCCTGTTAAAGCTGATCTACAGTGATATAAATAAGTATTTGTTGGAGCAGCGAAACTAGAACCTGGGTCTTCCATCTCCCAGCTCCCTACCCACTGGGCGTTCATGCATGTGTGTTTGTGTGTAAAAATTGCTTTATACCCCACTGGATAAAGGCATTAAATTGTCTTTAAACTGGGGGGGGTGTACACCCCCCCATAGTTTAGAGACACCTCCACACCCCATAATTTAGAGACAATTTAATAGCTTCTGCTTTACACCCCATGGTGGATGCATTTCATGAAATGACCTCTTTAGCCTAGGAACATATGGAGCATTTTAGAACCTTCTAGATACATGATACTAAACATTATACACACACTCTTTTACTCTTTCTTTCTAAAACAGTCCAATGAGGAGGACTCATGATCTTTCATGTTGTTATTTTTTAGGCAAAACACACGCGATTTTTAGGTCACTCGGCCCATTTGACTAATATTCGATTTACAAGTGGGGATAAATACGTTGTCAGCGCTGGAGGGGATGACTGCAGGTAGGTATATCTTTCCATTCTTCCCAAAAAGTAATTAGAAATCTAATATGTTTACTCTGTATGGACAATTCTTAATAGTGCAGAGATAATGTTCAAGTTCAGAATCTGAGACATTTAACCAGTTATGTGTTTGTTCCTTATAGTTCATAAAGAAACAGTCAAATATTTACAACACCTGATTCTTCTTATTTAAGAGTGGTATGAAGTACAGCGATGCACTAAAATAAAAAAAATAGACTGTAATGGCCAATATAGTTTGACATATTTTTTAATTTAATGGAAAATAATTTTTATTGATGTTTCTTTTATATTAAACATATAATAATTTTTAATCTCTCTTAACTTTTTGAAAATGCAGCTTATTTATCTGGAAATGTGTGCATATGCTTCATTAAGAGAGACATGGAGCCTTTCCAAAGAGGACACTGCGGAAAATTACAGGCATGAAAGACCCATGAGAGCAATGAGACATTCTACAGTGCCCTGCATGCTTACGAAATGGTGCTGATCTAAGACAGACTACAATCTGTCTCTGAAAGACAAGTGTCTAGAGTCTATCAGAAGAATAGACTATAACAAATATGCTGCGCCCCCTAGATTTGCTACAGTATTAGATAATCCATGTATGGATTCCATTCACTGCCAGACGTTGAAAAAGAAACACATGGATAAAAGGAAGAAGTGAGTTGTGGATCAATGTACAGTTTCCCAATAAGATAATGAGGTTTTAATCAAGAGATGTTATTTCTGACCTAATGCTGTATGTTGATGCATTTATTATCAGCACGAATGTGTTTCCTTTAAATTCTGGGGATTGAATATCATTGAAACAGATTACTCCTTCTTTTTATTACTGAAAGGAAAACCATCTAGCAGTTCTTAAATAAAACTACACAGTATTTTAATAAAAGATTAAAGTAATAAAATGGGATATGACATTTCTATGAATAGTCAAAAAATGAAGCATTGTCTGGTGAAGCAGTAATAGTAAAGTTTGCTCCTTAGACCTGCAGTATTCATGTGCTTAGAGGCCTGGGTCATAATCCTGTTTGATGAATGCTGTTAGGCATGCATGAACCCATTCTTTAAGGCTAATTTTGTGTTTTTGTTGCACTTAAACATTAAATTAGTTCCATGAGCAGAAACAGATTTGCTCACTTTGCGAGTGCCTTGCCCACAACCTAAAAGTCTAACTCCAGTTTTTGCCTTGCGATAAAAGTGTTCTCAGTGGAAGGGAGATTACTGTTGTGTAACTTGACTGAGCTGCTAGCCTCTTTGCTGGAAATATGAAATAAGATAATTTTAGTCTCTGTAAAGACTGGGGTCATCACCAGTTGCAAAAACAGAATTTCACAGCAATAGGAATTGTTGATTTTATTTTCTCAGTATCACTTGGAGGATGCAGAGAGAACATAATCTTTCCAAACACTGGTATTTTGTACATTCAGATTTTTTAACAGGAATAAAACTAGTTGGAAGAGATCTTTATTCAGCTCTCTCTCCTGATTGTAATGTAACATTCAGTCATAACTCTTCAAGTAAGCATGCATATTAAGGATACGGGCCTGCTTGTAACGCTTAGCATAAGAACATATTCTAAATGGCAAAATAACACAGACTTGAGCATTTTAGTGATGATAAACTCCAGGAGAAAGTTGCATTTTTGGTAAAACTGGGAAAGACTGCTTTAATTGTTTAATTGAAATGATCATGCAGTGGAGGTGTGCTGTGGGCTAGATCTGTTTTTTAAGCCGTGCAGTTATTTTTCATGCAACATGAAAGGGAGCAAAAGTAACTTGCTCACAGATTGCATTAACAAAGTGCTATTAAATGTGAGTAGTTACTATGGTCACAGTTGTTATTGTCTACTTACGTCAGCGTTTGTTAAGGATGGCATTTGATTCCAGGTTGAGATAGCATAGTTGTTGTTATTCACCTCTTTTATCATTTTACTTCAAGTAAATGTAAAAATGAAACAAATAAACCTCAACACCCACTGTAAATATCTTGTGTGTAGTGGGGAGAAAGGGAGAGATTGCACAGAGTAGATGAGAAAGTACGAAGAGACTCAGCCAGACCTCTGTACTCTTCCATGTCCAACAATGCTTGCTGTTATGTAATATAGGCCCTACCAATTTCACAGCCCTGAAAAACGTCACCAACTGTGAAATCAGCCCTCCCCCGGAAATCTGATCTCCCCTGCTGCGGGGAGCCCAGAGCTCCTAGTTGCTATTCGGACCGCGCTGGGGAGGGACAGGAGTTTTCCTTCCACTGCACTGCCGCTCTTGGGGGGGAGATCAGACGCACCTCCAGAGGCAGTGCAGAAATGAGGGTGGTACATCCTCATTTCTGCGCTGCAGCAGCCCAGGAGCTAGGCTCTGGGTTTCCATTCCTCCACCCCCCCGGGCTTCTGCCACAGCACCAGGCAGTGAGCTCAGGGCTTCCTTCCACAGCAGAGCTTGCTGGGCTGGGGGCTTTTGCTCCCGGTGGCTGCAGCTGGGGCAGTCTGGGCTCTGGGTTTCTGCCCCTCCACTCCCCACCCCCCCGGCTCCTGCCACGGCTCTGGGCGCCTGGGGGCTTCCACTCTGCAGCTGCAGCCAGGACTCGGGGCAGCCCGGGCCAGGAGCTTCCTCTGCTGCTCCAGTCAGGGCAGTGCAGGCTTGGGGGTTTCACCACCTCCAGCCAGGGCAGCCTGGGCACCTGCCCCCGTGACCTCTGCCATGGCTCCAGGTGCCGAGCTCGGGGTTTCCTCCCCCGGCAGCTCCTCCCAGGGCTGGGGGCTTGTGCTCCTGCCAGCTGCAGCCAGGGCAGCCTGGGCTCAGGGCTTCTGCCGCCCTGCCACTCCAGCTGGGGCTCCGAGCAGTCCAGACTTGGGGCTGCCCGGGCTCGAGGCTTCAGACCCACAGCTGCAGCCGGGGCTCAGGGCTTCTCCCCCCGCAGATTCTACCGGGACTCGGGGTGACCCACTAGGGGCTTCTGCCCTGGGGCTTCTTCTGGGACTGGAGCACCCATTTTTCCTGGGGGATGTCAAATCGGCCAGGGGGCTCTGCCTTCATCAGTTCATGCCAGGGACAAACAGCTAGGAGCCCCCCCGCTGGTGTGTTCCCAGAAGCATTGTGTGTGTGTGGGGGGGAATCCTACCCACCTTCACCTCCGGGAATCTCCTCTAACTGCAGGAAGCTGGGAGGGTGCTAATTTTGGGACACCCCTACAACAACTTTGCAACCCTTCCTCCCCCCCCCCCCCCCCCCCCCCCCCCCCCCCGCCGGGCCCCCCCACAGTTACAACATCCTGAAATTTCAGATGTAAACATCTGAAATCGTGAAATTGACCAATTTTAAAACCCTCTGGCTGTGAAATTGTCCAGAATGGACCATGAATTTGGTAGGGCCCTAGTAGTATTTAACACTATTGACCCAACAAATAATCTCATACAATATGTTTCCTATATCTAACTAGAGCGTCTTTCACAATAGAAAAATGTATTGATCTAATATCAAGTGTCTTAGGCAGGCAGGATTTGGAACAGATGATTTGTTGCCATTACCACTAGAGTACAATAGCTTCACTAACCACACAGCTGCTGTTCTAAAGTATAAGGTGCTAGGACTAGGGTCTGTGCTAGGGTACACTACTGACTCAGGTGAATTGCACCTGATGACACAGATGTGAGATCAGAATCATGCTGCAGCTTTACTCTTACTGCCCATTATTATTATATAAAAATTAATAGCATATATCTATGCTAGAGAAATCAATTGTTAGTGTAGTAATTTGTTGTTTTGCACCCTGTGTTCCACCACTGATTCAGTGCAGCTATATTACACATCTGAACATGGTGTAAGATTTGCCCTTGCATCCATGCTAAGGCTGCCTTACACCAGTTCAGATGGGATGACTGTCAAAAGCTCCTTTAGCTAATGAACCTCTTTAAATTTCCAGCTGAAAGTCATCTTTCTGTGTCTCACCATCTACCACAAATCCTATGCCCACTATCCCCCAGTAAATCTTCAGCCTGTGACTTGCACCCACCCCGTACTTTCCCAGAGTATCCTCTTGACACACTAACCATTCCCCCACCACCATCTTCAGTAGTGCCCATGCTATGGCTGTGCCACTCCACTGCTAATTTGCCAGCTGATACTTTTGCACTGAGGAACCACAGAGGTACATGCACCACAAATCACCACTGGGGCTGTAGCAGGAGGTGCACAGCTGCTAGCTACACTCCTTCTACCCCCAAACTCCTGAGGCATCTGTTCCCCCATCTCTGCCCCCATTTGGAGCTGGGGAGAATAGTGTCTTAGCTGCAGATCTATGGGGGCAGAGCGCATGTTCCACAAGCAAACTAAGGAGGTTCATTGCTGAAGAGAGTTTTTGTCTTTGACAGCAGTGGGAACTGACAGCTCACCAGTCGTGCTAGTGGGATGCGTTTACACTGGCACACAAGTCAGTTGTGCCTCAATTAGTGTTTACACTCACTAGTGTTAGTGGTGTAATTTCAATCAGTTAGGTGCCATGCTGCTAAGTGAAACTCTTCTGCAGTGAATACAAGGGCCAACAGCCTATGGGACGTTATAATTGACCACTGGTACAGAAAAATGCCTAGTGTGCTATGGCCTTCTAAAACCTGGAAGGAAGGAAGAATGTGAAGGGCTGAGTGGTAGAGTTGTTCTGGAAGTATGCAGGATAAGTATGGTGGTCTGGAGGCTATAACAGGGTTGGGAAAGGAGCCGTTCCCTTAGCTATGCAGCACTAAAAGGGGGGCACTGAGCCCCCAACTCTTTTTTTTTGTTTGTATTCTGCCACTCAATCATGCAGGTTCACTTTCTAGTTTGCAATGAATCCAGCTCTAGGATACCTTTAAGGTCCGCAAGGTAAAAAACTAGTAAACCCATTATACAAGTGAAAGAATAACACATTCTAGTCTAGATACCCATGAATCCATCTGTTATTGAAAAGTATTTAAATAACAAAGAATTGACATCCTATGCACATATTGGAATTCTAAAACAATCATCTCAGACTTAAACATGAGCCTATTGTAGTCAAAAGAGCCAAGATGTGGAAAAGGTTAGGATAAAGGGGAGAACTAATGAGCCAAATGTATTGAATCATTTTAACCTTAAATGTCTCAATTTTTCTTTCTTAAACACATGATCACTGGACACCATTATTTGGATCCAGGAAGGGGTTGGGGGAAGAGCAACTTAGTTTAGCACTCCTTTTCAGTAACTGAATGTATGCACGAATAAAGTCAGTATTTAGCTAGAACAAAAATCTTAACAGTGAGCATAATCAGAAGTTGTTAGAGTTACCCTAATTACAGAAATCTGGTTAATGTTAGCTGATACCCGCACCACCTGAAAAACAGCACACGGCACCCAAATAATTATTTACATGCTGTAAGTGGATAGCAAGCCCTAACAGTATGGAAGGATGAGCTATTTGGTTTTAATATATACTCTTTTTATAGCGGCAAAGTGACATGTTTTCCTGTTTGATTTATCAGCATAGTAGATGCAGCAAGCCTTAATTTTTGTCAAAAGCAAGTGGTTTTTGGTTAGTGTATACAATAGACAAATGTCTTGTTCCTAGCTTTGTTTTGGCTAGTGAGTGAATCATTCTGTGGCCTTCTTCCTGAATGTACCATGCCTAAACGAAGGGAAGAAAAAAATATTGCAGGTCACAATTTAAACTGCCATATTCGTCATAGTAACCAATTTGATTGAGCAGCCCTAGCTGTGTTTCATGTATATGCTCTTTCATACCTGCAGACTTTCCTGCCTCTTGTCATCTTTTCTTTTTTTCCCTAATGTTTACGGTACCGTTCATTTTTAC